TAAATGCAATGCATTTGTTTGGCTCCTGGGTGGCTCGCACACCGTAGCACTATGCCGGAAATTTGAGTTTTTCCAGCCTGGAAAGCCTGTCAGTGAGGCGCAAGAACTTGTAAATCATGTCCTGAGGGCCAGCATAGTGGCAGGAGTGTGTGGTCAAAATTTCACTCAAATCCACTGAGAAACACCAAAGTTACGGTCAATTGAATGCCATATGAAATTTATGGGTAGGCTGCCCCCTTAAATGAATTAAGTAGCCATGCACATGTCCGTTCAACACGTTCTCTTGATTGCGATAATACAACTCTAGTTCAAGATTATCCACTTTGCTTGAGGCAGATCTACATTGTACACGCAGGACAATGCAGCGCCGCATGGACTGCATCTTTGCCATAATCAGCCCTGGATATGCATGCAGACTATAGAACATGTGCCTGTATGTGTGTGTGTGTGTGTGCATGCGTGTGTGTTCTTGTCACAGTGTGCGTGTGTGTATGTGTACCCACGCACACGCGTGTGTGTGCGCGCGCGTGTGTGTGTGTGTCCCATATGGTGTAGTGGTATGTGCAGACGATTTCCAATCGAGAGGTTTGCGTGTTCACTTCCCAACGATTATGGTCGCACAGACGCACACGTCTTTCTTCTCTTTCTCATTCTCCTAGCTCTTCTTTCATTCTCTTGGGTGGTTACCAACAGCCAGCGTATGCCGGAGTGTGTGGTGTGGCGTGTGTGTGTGTGTGTGTCAAAAAAGAATGAAAAAATGGAAAAAAATGAAAAAAAGGGATGCACTGGCCATAAAAAGCCACTTCAATCAGCTGTGTGGTGGATACCAGTCTAAAATTAGTGGCGGTCAATTCATCAGCTTTGCACGCTGTTGAATGGTGCAATCCTAGCATAAGTCGCTACGTCGAACATAGCTGTTCGCTATCATCGCTTCCGCGATGGGCATGTCTGAGTGCGTGTGTGCGTGTGTGTGCGTGCATGTGTGTGGTGTGTGTGTGTGTGTGTGTGTGTTATTGGTACAAGTGCAGAGCTACTTCTAAAGCACTGATGAAATCCAACGGTAAACTTGGGGAAGCGCGAAAACGTAACAGAAATATACAACACCTGTGTGGAAACCCCACTAAAGTTGTTTGAAGGAAATCACAATGCAACGCTGCATCATATGTGTAGTTATAAAGTAGTTCTAAAGTACATGCAAAGAATTTCAAAAGAATATGTCATCAATAATTCAAAAATTGAGGATGCAAAATGGAAAAAATACATTGTACTCAGAAAAACGATCATTCAAGTTAAGGTATTCATCAGCTCGGGGGGAAAGTTGTAGACGGGTCAAATCAAGGTGTGCATCCATTATGAACCGATCAGAACATGCCGCAAAAAGAAATGCAAGAACCTGATGCAGGTCATGATTCCGTGTGACTATTGTCCATGTCCAAAGTGCAGCCTGCACACTACTTTGAGCAAGCACTCCACTGCGCAAGGCACTGGACAGAGATAGGCGTTGGCCGGCACGGACAGCACACGGCAAACCGACGCGAAGCATCAGGTTTTGTCGAACGCCATGCCGGCTCGGGACGACGGGATCATGAACTGTGCACGCCTAAGAGGGAGCGCAAAAACAAACATAAACAGACAGAAGAACACCCATGGTGAACAGGTACAATCTTGGTTTAAAGTTCCAAAGCTTTTATTTATGCTGATGGCGGCACTTTGAGAAAATGTCCTTTTTCACATTATAATGTTCAGTGCCCTGCTTCCCCCCCCCCCCCCAGCCAGTGATGTCTCCTCTCTGTACTCATGTTGTTCTACAACCCCCCCCCCCCCCACACACACACACACCACCCCTACCCTAGCGCTTCCACTGGTCAAATGCTCCACCGGTGTCCCCATGTGTCACACTCACTCAATAATCTGTGCCACTCTCTCGACGACTTCCTCCCGAGTGAACGCTGCCAAGATGCACAGAAGCTCCTTGCAGCTGATCTCCTTCTTGTGGACGATGTAGAAGAGCTGACCGGCCACGTTGTCGGTATCCGCTAGGCCGTGTTGGTTCTCCTTGATGTAAGAGGTCACGATGCTCTCAAAGTTGTTGACAAACTCACCGGCTGCCATTACCAGCTGCTTAGCCAGTTTCTCAGTAATCCAGAACCAGAACAAGAAAACAGTTTCTCAGTAATCCAGAACTAGAACAAGAAACCAAGTAGCGTGCCAGGAGCCGTCGAGGAATCTTCCGAGTTAGCGCCAGGTATAACTCTGCCTGGCTGCACCTGGACTGCTTCCATGTTAAGAAGGGTATTGCGGAGCCGAATGGCGAACTTTTTCAGCTGGCTGACGTCACGCTTATTGGTCAAGACTGGCCACTCCATGAGCTCTCTTTCCTGGTTGTTCAGCTCTCGGTCTTGGTCACCGTACCAGCGTTCCAACTCGGCCATGATTGCTTTATATGCGCCATGCCCATCCAAGACATCCGCAATCAACTCCTCTGCAGAACCATCAGCAAGGGCCTCCCTCAGATGCGCAAGCTTGTGATTCTCCGACATCGCGTAACTGTCGTCAATCAGCCGAATGAAACGCTGCCGCCACTTAAGATAGCTTTTCACTTTCCCATCAACCTTGGGCAGCTCTAACGCCTTCAGGGGACTGGAAACAGCATGAGGCGAGGTCCATGGCATGAGTCCAGGCGATGCCATCTGAGGTCCAGGCAACAGTGTTTGCTTCGCTAGTTGGAACGGCACTGCTCCAGGGTTGAGTAATAGTTTATCCGTCATGGCACTGCACAGTGAAGCTGCTTGCTCGGCTTTGTCCTTGTTCTTCTGTCGTTTTTCCGATTTTTTCTTCTGCGGAGTCATTAGCTTTCTCGGTGCGGCGGGGCTTGGCTGGGCCTGTCTACCTGCTCCCAGCAGCATTGGACGCATGTCGCTACCAAGCACATGGACTTGCTGCAGCTGCTGCTGTGGCGACGGCGGCTGCTGCTGCTGCTGCATATGTACTGGCTGTGGCTGCAGCTGGTGCCGCATAGTTACTGGCTGGCTATTGCAGGCAGCTCCGCCTCTGGACGCAACTCCTGCGTTGGCCAGAGCACGTGTACCAACACGCCTGGAAGCAGGCCCATAGTGACTAACAGTAGTATCAGTGTGGCTGTTATCACTTTCACCACTACTGCCACTACTGGCGTTAGTTGTAGTTCCAGTAGTTGTAGAGTCACCAGCAGTGTCACTACTTGAGGCGCTACTGGATGACACATAGTGGTCTGACTCTTCAGACACACCGTCAACGACGTCTGGGACATTCTGCGATGGCTGAGCAGCTGCTGTTCCTGCTACTAGTGTATTCACATGTTCAACACTGGGGCGCGCGAGTGGTAACGGAGGATCAGTCGTAAACCTACTACCAGTAACTGCACTGTCCGACTCCACTCGTAGTGACATACAAGATCGCAGAGTCGCACTTGAGCCGCCACGACTTCGTTGCAAGACCACGTCCCCGTCCGAAGCGATGGCCAGCGCTCATTTTTCACGTCCCGTCCGAATACTGCTTTCTCTACGAGACGACGGGCTAGCTCCTTCCGCCGACTCGTGCGCAGATTCTTCTTTGGAACGAGCTTGCTCCAAGGCTTGCCGCTTCTGCTGGACAGCTAACTTACTCTGCAGAACTTGTTCCTGCAGTGCAGCCATCTCTTCTGCCGCTCGCACTTCGGCCTCTGCCCTTTTTCTGGCCACTCGAGCTCTCTCCAATTCTACGAGTTCAGCGCTCCCAGGACTGGCACTAGTACTCGAGCGCTCACTTCCAGAAAATCCATATCGCCTGGGTTCCTTTCCTTTCGTCGATCTGTGGCTGATACGCCGCTCCTCACTCATGGCGACGACTCTCAGCAACCACGGAAAGGCAAAAGAATCCCCTAGGAGGTGCCAGTTTATGTTACTTTTCCTCAGTGCCCAGGTCAACGCACTTTCGTCAACTCCGGGTTTCCGCACACAATTGAATCACAGTTCAGTGTTACTCCACTCCGGAGTAGAACACAATTCTTCAGACTGATGGAACATAGGAAAATCAGTTTAAATCACAACAGCTAGAATGTAGAGCTCTGGTCCAACACAACAAGAAAAAAAACATTACCATGCGGGGAGTAACCTGCGCATGCGAACAACTCACAGGACAAAAAAGGCACATGCTTCCAAAAACCAATACACACTCCGGCCCGGCCGGCCCGTGTCGCATATGCCAGCGACACAAGCATAAAAGCAAGTGCCGTGAGAAGGAAGGAAAGCAGGTCTTATGAAAGTGCGTAGCGTTCCCGCACTACAAACCACGTATCACAGGCACAGGGCCTAAGGGACAACTACAAACTGCGCACTACGCACACATTCAAATACAGCTGTAGACACGCACTGCATAAATCTACAAGTACTCGTACAAACTGTGCAGGTCAGCGACACCTACAGCATCTGCTGGAACAATGGCACAAGGGAGTACTAAGAGTAAGAAAACGCAGGCGCGTCGGAACGACTTTGGAAGTGGGGCGGCCATGGAAGGGGGGTCCGGGGGTCCTCCCCCGGGAAAAAATTTCAAAAATTAAAGCCAATTGCAAGCATTTCCGGGCATTTGGTGCCATTTCAGTGTACGGTAACTACAATGAAAGACTTTTTGATTCTGCAAAAAACCAAGAAGATGCTACGATCGGGGACAAACATTACCCTCCCCCGGGAAAAAAATTCAAAAATTGAAGCCAATTGCAAGCATTCCCAGGCATTTGGTGCCATTTCAGTGTACATGGACTTTTGATTCTGCAACAAACCACGATCGGGGACAAGGATTTGCCACGTTTGCGCTGAGATCATCGCGCTTTGTTGCAGTGTGCTAAAAAAAAAAAAAAAAAAAAAAAAAAACGGCCGAAAAAGTGGGGCGGCCATGGCCACCCCGGCCGGTGCGGTTCCGACGCCCTTGAAACGTAACAGGTTATCTCAAATCCCATATGCTGTTCATGTTGCATGTTACTGCAGGGTTACCAACTCTTGACTGACATCCATAACGGATTTGGCGGTGTGTCCAGTGAAGTGGTGGACTTCCTTCGCGACGAGTATGAAAAGAAGTCCATCTTCACCGTGGCGACAATGCCGCCGTGTTTTGAGCAGACTGTAAGTGTGACTGTAACGTCTTGCTTGTAAAACAACACTGAAGCTGCAGTGCGGGGGGGGGGAGGGGAGGGGGGGGGGGGGGATGTTACGAGTAGGGTGGATTTGCAACTACAGTATAGCTCACCTAGCCGTGACTAATACAAGTAAACGTATCTACTCACTACATGTGCATGTATCTCAAGCAGCTCATGTTTGTCACTGTTCTTCATGTTCTTCATGTGCGTGTTTGCCTGCTGTGATAAGGATGGCCAACACGTCGCCACCCGCTCGCTGAGCGCAGCCTTTTCTTTCCAGCACCTGTCGGAGGCCAGCTCTATGCTACTGCCGCTCAGCACCAGCACGGCTGGACTGTGGCCATCGTTGTCGGCGGGGCAGACTGTCCAGTCGGCACACATCAACTACAGGGTATGGTTGTACTCTGCACTGGCTTGAAGCCGTTGAACGCATGGGGTGTGGTCAGGGTGTTCTGAGCATCGTGCTCCATGTTTTTTTTTATATACTTCCTCCGCCCAAGCAAAATTTTCGCTTATCTTTACAGTTTTTACTGATACATTCCAGGTTTTCAGAACGGCTTATAACGACTCAGAATGAGTTGAGGAGTCGTTGAACATCAAGAGAAACTCTCCAAGTCGAAAAATGTAGAGGGCATCCTTTGTCATCAGCCGACGCAGCACTTGTTGTCGGGTAGTACTTCGCACTTTCCAGAAGCGCAAATATTTTCTATCGACGCTTTTTTCCCAAGCGCTTCACCTCCTTCACGAGTACGATCGGTTGTGTTTCTTTCCAGCCGAAGCTGGCGAGCTCAGTCAGCGTCGCTTTGCTGGACCGTTCACATGTGGGCGAGCGTCGCTGAGTGGCTTTCTCAGCTTCAAGCTCGCGTGCATTTTTGCCGTACACACACCTTGAGCAGGATGCAATCAAACACACTAGCTTTTCGCAACATTACACCTCTGCTCTGTACTCCAGTGCCAGCAGTGGTACTCTAGCAGCACCCACCTTGACTAGTGACTGACTTCGTGTCTTTTTTACCAGTTCACTCGCATTCAACGCGCTCTACTCTAGATGTTTCTTTACTCTTTGCCGACTTCGCCGACTTGTTTGGAACTGGTACGCCTGAACGAGCAGATTTGTGTGATGGTGAAGTGCACAAGATGCAAAAATTGCTGTCAGACACCTGTCATTGGGCTGAAGGAGATAAGCGAAAATTTTGCCTGGGCGGAGGAAGTATTCATATGCAGTGACAAGTTTGACTGTCTACAAGTGTAAGATTAGTCATTCTGTGGTATGTCTTCCATTGACTGGCACTAGTTGCAGAAACCACAAGTACTAGTAGCTCGCAACTGTTCGTATAAATGTGATCTGAGATTTTCTTCATTCCTGTGCGGTGCTTGTCTAACATGTGTGTGTGTGCGTGCGTGTGTGTTTCAGTCTGACTTGTCGTATCACACATCCGCATTGCTGGCTGCAACACTGGACACAGTCACGTTGCCATACCGGTCAGTGCTCTTCTCAAAGTGGCATGCACCACCTTTCATTCTACTGGCTATCTCCTTTAGTGCATGCATGCTCTGCCTCAATCTGCCCCCGAGTTGTCCAGCGTTGATCTCCCAGTTGAGATTTGCTGATGCATGGCAGCCATAGTCAAATGTCTTGAATCCCAGCCTGGGCCTATGCCTCCCTGTCCAGAACAAGGATCAGAAGTCACAGACTGGGCCTATGCCTCCCTGTCCAGAACAAGGATCAGAAGTCACAGACTGGGCCTATGCCTCCCTGTCCAGAACAAGGATCAGAAGTCACAGACTGGGCCTATGCCTCCCTGTCTAGAACAAGGATCAGAAGTCACAGACTGGGCCTATGCCTCCCTGTCCAGAACAAGGATCAGAAGTCACAGACTTCGTTCACTTTTTTTAGTGGTCCACTCGGCTAGTGCTAGTAGGCTAGGGGGCCTCAGTTTGTGGAGCAGTCTACAATGTAGTTGCTCACTATCACATACGATACATCATGTGTGATTGTCACTGTTTGTTGCTTATCCCTGGCAATGGCTATTGTTTGTGCAGACTGAAAGCGTCTAGTACCTCAATACATCAGGTGGCGGACCTGCTGACTCCATTGGGCAGAAAGGTAGGACTTTACTAGACACGACTGTGTTCTCTTTCTCTAGTGTGGCACTTTGCTGAACTTGGTCTGGTGTGAAGTGCAGACGAGGTAGGGGAGCGGCTATTCATGCCTGACATGATGAATCGTGTATGCAGCGTGCTTGCATTTTCCTGTGCTACCACTGTACTGTGCTAATACAACTGCTGTATATACCGGTAGTGCTAATGCAGTGAAGTAGGAGCTGAAGTGAGGAACAATACATGGCCAGAAATGAGAAATCAGGATCAGAATACCAGTAGAGAACAATGGCTTTGGGAGAAAGACTATGCAACTGACCATGTGAAGTAGTTAGCTGTGCGTGCTATCTTATCTATAATCATTAGTGCATCCACTACACTACTGCCGGGTGCCGAAGAAGAACAACAGTCTAGGATTTCACCAAGCACGCCATACCAATGTATATATTACGGTGGCGCAGCTGTACATAGACTGTAGTACATGAAAATTAGAACGGCCTAGGCTAGGAGGATGCCCACCCCAGTTCTTCGTCACGTGACGGTATTGTACTCCAATGGTATTAGCTATGCTCTGGCTTACAATTCCCCTTTCCCTTTGTCTGCTGTTGCTCTCGTGCAGGTTGTCAGTGCATATACTGCGCTGCCGTTCCCATTCAGAGCCGGTAGCAAGCTCGTGGACTGCTTTGCTGAGCTGCCCGCACTTCACAGTGACTCTCTGTCGATGTCCATGACTCCGCTGACACACGATGACGTATGTATTCAGTAAAGACATGTGCTACAGGCTGCAGGACTACCTCCGCTGTACATCTTGTTATATGTTCCGACTTCGAAAAGTTGTGATAGTAATCAGCCACTAGCCATAGTATCGACTCTGATTTACTAATGTATTATGTATATGATGAAATCAGCTTTGATGCTATCAGAGCTCATGTCTTTTCATGCTGTGCTTGTGATCTGGTCCCCTGTGATTGTTGGGTTTCTCCCTTTTGGTCATCTTCTGTGATGATTGTACTCCAGTGCGCCATGTTAGCAAGGGCAGCCTCATTTACTGCTGCACCATGTTAAGTATAGTTACTAGGTAGTTAGTAGCAACAGCACTGGTGCGATATTCTGTTGGATAAATTCTGCACTCGTAATCTAATCTGCCTACCGTATTTTCCGAGTATAAGCCGCCAGTAATTTACCCAGGAAAAGTCGGTGCGGCTTATACTTCGGAAATTACGGTTTGTATAGGATCCGATATAGACCTCTCATTGCTTCTGCTTTACTGTAAGTGTAAGGCCGGCTCTCGTGATTTGTTGCTCTCCTTGTTCACCATGACTGCGTGTGTATGCTACAGGAGCTGGCCTATGCTCAGCATGCAGTGCTGTGTGGAATTCCTCCGGAGCTAGCCAAGCAGTAAGCTAACTCCGATATGCTAGTACTGTAGTAGTACCAAGAGTCCATACCCCTCCCCAAGAATACTAGTATGCAACTCTACACTTGGGGTTGGCATGGCACACTCATTGTCCACACTACATACTGTAAAAGCAGAAATTTTCGGTGGTGTAATATTTTCGATATTCTCCAAAATCGGCGGTTCGGTTGAGGGAAATTTTCGGTAAAACCCGTTCTCCGGGTAAGTGTGCTAGTACTACATGTATACAGTATCGGTTGTACCGAAAATTTCGGTGCGTTTTATTTTCGGTAAAAATTGTCGGCACCAAAAATAAAACACCACCGAAAATTTCTGCTTTTACAGTAGCCACAAACTGGAGAATCAGCTGACCCATTGCATTACTTGTACCACGGATCTGCATGGTTTGGGGCTGCCAAGTATATTTTCTCTGATGTGTCGGAAGCTTTTATGTGATGCGTTGGATGTAGGCATCGTCACAACATGTACGCAATAAGACCAGTGTGTCGTGCAGAGCATTCATAGGGCGGAGATCAGAGTTTGCAATCTCTTGCTGCAGACTCTTGCAACTCAGCATGTACTTGTACACTTATCAAGTACTGTACAACCAGTGCACATGTGTGCATGTGTGTGCATGTGTGTGCATGTGTGTGCATGTGTGTGCATGTGTGTGCATGTGTGTGCATGTGTGTGCATGTGTTTGCATGTGTTTGCATGTGGACTGTAACTCCACAATGATCAAACACGCCAGCCTTTCTGGCAACACATGGAACTTTGAAAGGAATTCGGGTGGACACACCCATTCCCATAGCGCTGCACATCCGAACCAGTTCCGTATTCATTGTTTTTCTTACCTGACGATGGCCAAGCGCCGAAACGTTGTAAAATAACGGAACTGGTTCGGATGTGCTGCGCTATGGGAACGGGTGTGTCCACCCGAATTCCTTTCAGGGATGAAGCTGCAGGAAGCCTCAGCCCTTCTTCAGAAATGGAATTTTGCTCATGTTTGGCTGTCATGAACACTGAAAACCGTTCACCACAGCGCTTTTGTATGGAATCCCAAGCGCATTGCTTTAGTGCTCCACCAAAGCATGTGTGCTTGTCGAAACAGTGGCCACATTTGTATCGCCGATGATGACTAAGAGCTGTTCCGGTGTGCTCCTGTTTCTCTGTGTAGGACTGACGAGGGTGATCTGAAGCCGGATGATGCGTTCAGAACATACCTGGGAGGTTCTCCTTCAGCTATGATCAAGTAAGACAGACTGCGAGCAGTTTCATGCCGGTCTCCTTGTCTTCTGGTATGCATGTATGATCATGACGGAACTCTCACGGAACTCTCAGATGCGGCGTGGCTTGGGGCTGAGTGCTGATCGAGGAAGTTTACCCCGTGTCATGGACTCGTGGTGGAAAAGCTTCTACGTACAGTAAAAACCTGTCAAGGCGACCACTCAGATAAGGCGACCACCTGTCCTAGAAGACCACTGAAACCAGCACCAAGGAATGCTATTTCCAGTCAAATGACCCTGGATAAGAAGACCACCTGGTAACAGTGACCAGATTTTGAAGGTCCCTTGAACGGTCGTCTTAGACAGGTTTCACTATACATGTACTTATGCTCATTTTCACCACAACAAAACTATTTATAGGCTGAAACAACAAAACTATTTGAAGGCTGAAATCTGCCTTCTGCTTGTACATGCAATTTGGCATTGGTACGTGCACACTGATCGCAATGATGCTGGCTACAGTAGGAGAGGGCTCATCTTGGCCATGGCTTGTATATGGTGGAAAGCAATATGGGATGCTGGGAAACTTACGGGAATAGAAAGTGTGGTGTACCTTTGTCATGGTGGTGTTGGGAATACTCTTCTTGCTTCCCTATTGTCAGTAGTATTGACTGTGACACAGTGTACAGTCAGTAACTCTCTTGCGTTTTCTGGAAATTCATTCCTTGTTCTTTTTTCTTTTTCTTTTCCTATTCTTTGTTCCCACTGTGCTTGTGCTTTGCAGCTCATCGTGTTATGTGAAGGAAGCAAGTGTGGTGTCAGCACCTTTCCCTAACATCTTCAAGCCAAGTGTGACCGTGCGCGGCTTCGTGGAAACGGAAGAGTAAGTTTGATGAACCACTGTGGATGAGCAATGTTTTTGTCACTGTCAGCATTGTACGCTGCTGGGTTCTTTTCTTCCTCTCGCCGAACCAAGGTAGTAATTTACAGGAGGGTAAAATAGTAATGCTAGCCATGCCTTCACAGTCATTCTACTACTTTAAGTAAAATCTTCCCGTGTAACTGTCACGTATATAGGCCGAGCTTATTCCTGTAGACGGCCATGTCAGGGATAGGCTTTTTTCAAATCATTCTTGCATTCAAATCAGGTATTTCTATCTATGTCGACGCTAAACAAAAGCAGGCTTATGTACCAACGGTGCATCTTGAAAATCAGGCTAATCAGGCTTGTATTCAAACCAGGCTTCTATACATGTATGAGACATACGTTTATACAAGACATTGTCACTCTGGGACCTCGGTCTTTTACTCGTTCTATATTTCATATATTGACCTCTTTAATTGTGCAATAATAGATAATTACGGTATTGATTATGTACGTTCGGGCCTGATTGGAAATTTTTATTTCCATTGCTATCAGGCTCGGCCTCATTTCCTCTGTGCTGTGCTGACGAGTCCACAAAGGACGAAACAGTTCTGTCCGCAGATTGAGTATTGATTATGTAGATAGTCCAAAGGCAATGGTGCCTGTCGTGAGGTGGCTCCAGACCAAACATAGAGCGACGAGCTCAGCCGTCAGGAACAGCAAAAGAAACATGAGACGGACGATGAATTAGCTTGGGGAGGGTGGGTGGGTGGGGGGGGGGGGGACAAGGGGCCAGACAACAGCAGCTCAGACAGGGGAAAAATTATTGGAGACTAGTAGTACTGTCATGTACATGTACGTTAGCCAAGAAATAGAGAAATAGAGGACATGAGAAGAAATAGAGGACATGAGAAGTCCACTGAAACCTTCCACTCCACAAACCTGCAAGAAAGCACAGCAGGGAGTTAAAAAAAAAAGGTTAACGCATGGGCTGTAAATTGACTCTCCCAGTACACTAGCCAACTGCTCCCACTTGCCACAACAGCCAAAGGTTCCTGCTGAGTACTGAATTCCTTCTGGCACGGTAGTGTACGCGGGAAATCAGTTTACAGTGAATTTTCAACGGTTAAATGCTGTAGACAGGAAAAGAACATATGGATACGAGTTAAGAGTAACTCTCCACCACTGTAACTAGATACTACCGTCGTGGACATGGAAATCCGGTCACACGTCTAGCGGCCCCAGGGCGCTGGCCATGCAGCCATGGGTAAGCAGTACACACACGCTGCAGCGCGCGCGCTGGTCGCATCATATCGGATCAACGTGCACTGCCTGCAACGTTCTGTCTGCGCTGAGTGAGGGCGCCGGCCCCGGTCAATCGACTGGATTTCCATGTCCACGACAGTATATACAGTCAGATAGTGCAACAACAACTAGGCACAACACTGACAGAGTACTGAGACATTCTTCAGTGGTGGAGAGTTACTCTTAACTCGAATCCATTATTATATCCTTTTCCTTTCGACATTTTATTATTGGCTCAACATCCGGGTTAAATGCTGGTGCTTACTTTCTCTACTAACAGCTTGGGTTAGAATAAAAAAAAAATAAGGTGAAAAGCATGAGCTATTAAAGATACCGCTACGGCACCATTATGATTGTTTCGCATCACCACGCACAAAGGCCTTCAAGAAATGTACGATATGTACATGTACGTACGCTCCAGTAACCATAGGCGCGTTAACCTGCACCACAGCCGTATGCTTTTATGGGTATCAAGTGGTGTTATCAGTGTGGTTCAGTGCAACCTTTTATCACCTGCACGCACACCTTTTTTAAAGTTTGCTGATGAGAAACATATGAAAAAGCATACCATGACAGTTGGCGACAAGAGTAGAGGATGATGTTGATATCCACTAATCTCTGGTTGTCCTTTTTGCTCTTGTGCCGATTTCTTCTTTGCTCGACAGGGCTTACTTGCGACCTCCAGGATGTAAGTCCTCATCATTTCCTTTACAGATTTATTTTTGGGGGACGTGGGCGTGTGGTGGTGGTGTGGTATGTGTGTGGGAGGAGGGGTGTTGGGAGGTCTGCAGAGAAGTTCTGTTGAATTATTTGTCCTTGTTTTCAATCAAGCATACTGTTCTACTGTCTGTGTGCACCACAGTTACTGATTAAGGTTATGAACTTATGATTGACTGTAGCCCTTGTCTTCTTTCCCACATGACCATATTTCCCATGTAGACGCTGTACACACTCTGCCAGTCATGGCAGCCCTGCAATCGCGCAACTCCAGCAGCCGTCTTGTCGAGCACATTGTGCAGAGTGCCGAAGAAGCCCAGCCACAGCGGCAGTTCGCCTTCTATCAGTCCTCCTTGAGCACGGATTCATGGAGCGAGACCAGGGAGAGCCTGCGTCAGCTGTCCGATAACTACTTGAGTGAGTGAGGTACAGATGTGCGAGAGCAAGTTGGAGCGCGCTAGGACTCTCCATTGCCCACAAACTCCTTGCAGCTGTTGTCCAGATAGGCTAGCTGCGCGGTGTATGTTCAGACGGTAGTACGTAATATTTCTCTGGCATGGCATCACTAAGACTAGAAGTAATGGTTCCTTTTATTATTGATAGCTGGAGCAGTCCTTTCTCTGTCTTGTGCCAATACTGCAATAGTGATTCATGTATCAAGGCCTGAGCTACACTGTAGGCTGTAGTCTTCCCTGTCTCTCTTGTGGTTTTCTATTCATGAGGGCGATCTACAAAGTGGCGTCATAACTATTTCCAACTGGCCGTTCATGTATTACATGCATATACTTCTTAGCTGTGTGTTGTTGCTTGTTGCTGTGCATGGTCATACATTTGTATTGCATAGTATCATGGCTAGCTTTCGTGCCGTACAACAGCGCGTGTGCGGTGGCTACGCCTCTGCTGTTTTGCCAGCTGACAGTGCTGCATAAATTACTTCATCTTTGCCTTTTGTCTTCGGTTCTGTACCGACATGGAATGTTTTCGGTTTTAGTAGTTCCTTGGTTCGCGTTGTGTAGCTAGCTAGGCTGCTCTTTCAGGTGTAATTGTATTTGGAGTGAAAAGATAAGATAACGTGTTCCTTCGTGTGAACATTCTGGTAGCAGAGGATGGTTATCGCCTGAGTGAGCAGTTCAGTTTCGGAAATTTAAATTATTTAGATCATGTCGTCGCCGGAGCCTGAGAGTGAGAGCACAATCAGGGCTAGCAGTCAGAGAACTGAGCTCTTTTTAGGTGCCATGGCAGAGAGGGCAGGCGACGTGATCGAGGAGGACGAGGAAGTCGAAGAGGACGAACATGGTCAAAGTGACCAGCGATCGAATGAACTGATGTTCGTGAAAATGAAAGCTGAAAAAGCGAATCGCAAGAGAAAGTTCACCAGGTGTCGCAGAGCCGTGATCGTGGCCTTGCGTGACGGAGTTGAAGAGGAAGCTGCGAGGTCGTTGTTTGGCGAATTAGAAATGATCGAGGATGCCCTGAACGGTGTGTTCATGGACGTACTCGAGTGGGCTGGCGGCATGAACGATGCGCTCGCAGTGGCTAAAGTGACCGATGAGATGGAGGAAGCGGAGAAAGAGATGAAGGAGGTCACAAGGCTGTATCAGGAGTTCCTAGAACACCAGCCAGCGTGGACGGCTGCACGGAACAGCCACCCAGACAGGCCAGCGTATCATCAGTATGCCCAGGCACCAGTGGAAGAGCCAGGAAGTCCACTGAGCGTGATATCGCTGGGCAGAAGTGAAGGCTCCCAGGATCGGGATGAGCCTGGTGATGGCGTGGCGCTGGTTCAGGAGAACCAGGCAAGAGTAGAAGACAGTGATGAAGTGGTTGTGACCACAAGTGTCTCCGGCAGTAGTAACAGAGAGGCAGAGCTTGGGGCTAGAACAAGGCCACCAATGGAAGCTGGGAGTAGGAGGTCAGAGCGTGAAAGAAGCCCTGCCTTGCCTGTACTACAGCCTGCTGTGCCAACACGGAGTGCTGTATGTGTGTCCAGTGCATATACTAGAGTGAGTGAGACCAAGGCCCCTCAACTTCAAGTCGCGAAGAGTCCAGGCCAGCAGGGCAGTAGTACTCAGGCTCCTGTGTCAGGACTACACCCTACATCATCTCTGCCATATCAGTCCGCCAACTATCTGTACACCCAGGCCAGTGGGCCGCCACAGGTAGCCTCAAGTCATCAGGCCATGGGCATTGGTGCCTTTTCAGCATTGCCAGGAGCAGGTGTGTCCGCCAGCCACCAGCGTGCTGTGTCTCAGCCTCCACCTGTCAAGCAGCCATCAGATGAAATTTTCAAGCAACTGAAGGCTATACAGATCCCAGTCTTCGGCGGCGATAAGCAGGCGTATGCCTCATGGAAGGCTGCTTTCATGGCGTGTGTTGGTAGCTCGTCTGCAAGGGCAGACTTGAAACTGCTGCACCTCCGGCAGTATTTGAGTGGAGATGCCTTGGCTTCCATCGAGAGCTTGGGATACACCCCGTCTGCGTATGAGGCCGCAATGAGGCGGTTAGACCGCAAGTTTGGAGGCGACCAACGACAGCTGTCGCTGCAGTACGAGCAAGTCGAGGCCTGCCCAATCATTCGTTCCGGCCGAGCAGGAGATCTCCAGAAGTTTGCAGATCTCCTCGACGTACTCGTGGTCAACCTCCTCGACTCCGGAAAAGGCAATGAGCTGGGTGATGGGCTGTTGTACCGGAAGCTCCTGGCCAAGTTGCCGGCTGGGATGTTAACCCAATTCAATCGATGGTGTCATCAGAAGCCCTGCCAGCCAGGAATTCAAGCACTACTGGAGTGGGTGACGTTGGAAGCGGAGTTTGCCGTTGGAGCGTCCGAAGCACTAGATGGAGTTGGTGCGAAGGACAAGCCTCCGGCACCCCGAAATGCTCCTCAACGATCCTACTTCGGGGGAAAGGCTTCGCAGAATGCAGGGTGGTCAAGGCCTGCGGGCTCAGCGGCTGGACGATCTTCATGTCGGCAATGTGGCGGACCTCACGGTGTCTGGCAGTGTAAAGCATTTCAGCAGCTTTCCGTCGCCAATCGCTGGAGACAGGCTAAACAGCATGGTCTGTGCTACCGCTGCCTTGGAGGCGATCACCAAGGTCACCACTGTCCACGAACCAGACCCTGCTCAGTGAGCGGCTGCAACAACAATCACCACTACTTGCTACACCGGGACTTGCTACACGAGGACAGCAGGAACCCCGATGCCGCACAGTCAAACAAGAAAAAATCGGGGAACACGGCAGCTGGAGGAATGACGGCGGACAAGTCCCAACTCAGTCCTGCCGAACAATTCTGCAACTATGGAGACAATGGTTCAGGTCAGGAGACAGGGGACCAGGTATTGCCTCCCGCCATCGACTGTTTAGTAACGCCGCCATACGCCGGTAAAGACCAAGAGCAGCGCACCCCACAGTCGTTCACCGAGGGGGAGACGGAGTCCACGAAGAGTGATTCCACCATGATGGTCCAAGGCCCGGGCAAGATAGCTCTGCGAACGGTCTCAGTCGTCTTGGAGAACGGCCACAAGTCAGTGCAAGTGAATGCGTTGCTGGACGACGGTAGCACAACGAGCTACCTCAACGGCAGCATTGCCAACCAGCTCGGCGTCAGCGGGGAGCTGAGGACATTCACGGTCCACACCTTGAATGGCAAGCAGACCTCATTCACAACCAGACCAGTAAGCTTCACCATTGGCAGCATGGATGGCAGTGTTCGGCAATCTATGACGGCGCTGACGGCTGATTCGGTCACCGGGAATCTTCGTCCGGTAGAGTGGGTCAAGGAAGCAGTCAAGTATCCTCATCTGAGAGAGATTCCGTTCGCAAGACTGGCGGAGCCCGCCAGGGTCGATCTGCTGATTGGGAGCGACTATGCTGAGCTGCTTGTGTCACAGCAGGAAGTGGTCGGCCCGCCTGGTCAACCAGTGGCGCGTCATACTCCACTGGGTTGGACCTGTGTTGGCAGAGTGACGGGAACCCACTCGAGTCAAAGGACGTTCCACAGCCAAGCGTTTCAGAGTGAGGAGAGAGCAACACCAACCGGCTTAGAGACCGCGCTACAGCAGTTCTGGCAAATTGACAGCTGCGGCACGGAGGAGAGCTTCAGTGAGCCCGGCCCGCGCTCGCTGGAGGAAGAGACAGCCCTAGACATCGTCAAACACTCGCTGAAGAAGGTGGACGGTCGGTACCAGGTGTCTCTGCCGTGGAACAATCGCAAGAGAGAATTATGCAACAACTTGGGTGCGGCTACGAAACGTCTAGGCCACACCGAGCGCAAGCTCCTGAAAGACCCATTCGTTGCCCAGGCTTATGGCCAAGTCTTCCAGGCCTACCAGAGGAACGGCTATATCCGTGAGCTCGCGAAGGAAGAGCTAGGTCAAGAGGTATGCTGGTACTTATCCCACTTTCCCATCGTCCGACCGCAGAAGACGACAACCAAGGTGCGGATCGTCTTTGACGCTGCAGCATCCTGTCATGGCCTCAGCCTCAACGACGCCATCTACCCTGGTCCGAAGCTCCAACGTGAGTTGTTCGATGTGTTGACCAGGTTTCGGCAAAAGCCTATAGCAGTGGGCTGTGACGTGACCGAAATGTATTTGCAGGTGTCGGTTGCGCCAGCAGACAGGAAGTACCTCAGATTCGTGTGGCGGGACCTGGATCCAGCCAAGCCTTTACGGCACTTTGAGTTCAACCGCCTGGTCTTTGGCGTCAATGCTGCACCATTCATCGCCCAGTATGTTGCTCAGCAGACAGCCCGGGAACATTTGGCGTCTCATCCCCTGGCAGCAGAAGCTATCCTCGCGTCCACCTACATGGATGACACGATGGACAGCACCAAAGATGTCGAACAAGGTCAGATTCTTCATCGGGAGCTAATGGATCTGTGGGGTGAGGCCAAGATGACGCCGCGCAAGTGGGTGTCCAACTCGCCCGAGCTCCTGAGGGTAATTCCAGCCGAGGCTCGCGCTACCCAGCTGGACTTATCCCAAGGAGAGCTACCATCCGTGAAGACGCTAGGAGTGTCATGGGACGGTCAGGCAGACTGCTTCTTCTTCAGCGTTCAACCGCCAGACCTCACCAACCAACGCATCACCAAGCGATTCCTCCTAGCAAAAGTCGCGTCCGTATTCGACCCGTTGGGGTTTCTGGCACCGTTCGTGACCCAAGCCAAGATCCTCATGCAAGAGAGTTGGGTAGCTGGTATTGACTGGGATGAACCGGTTCCAGATGGCATCGACACCAGCGCTCGCCAGTGGTTCAATGACCTGGCGAAGCTCAGTTTAGTTCGAGTACCAAGATGTCTCATCCCGGACGTGGCCAGTGGAGTGACGCTGCATGTTTTCTGTGATGCGTCGAGTGTGGCGTATGGTGCCGTGGTCTACAGCTCCACCGTGCAGTGTGGCTCTGAGGGAAACGTTCGTCTCGCTGGAGCCAAGAGCAGAGTGGCGCCGACAAGAACACAAAGTATCCCCCGGCTGGAATTGCTGGCGGCTGTGCTTGGCCTTCAGCTGGCCCGGAAGTTCAGTCAGATAACTACTTGAGTGAGTGAGGTACAGATGTGCGAGAGCAAGTTGGAGCGCGCTAGGACTCTCCATTGCCCACAAACTCCTTGCAGCTGTTGTCCAGATAGGCTAGCTGCGCGGTGTAGGCGCTGTCATTCGGCTGAGCATCCGCCAGTACCATGCGCCACATAGTCCTAACTGGAGTTGATTACAAGTGCTGTGTGTGTGTCTGACAATCTCTTGCTACGGGTACTGTTGACTGGTACTAGCATAGTTTCTGTCTGTTGGATAACAGGTTTGTTTCCTCCACAATGCAGCATGGTCGCTGAAACTACTTCAAAGTGTTTTCGACTTTGTTTTATCAGTATTGGATACTCCTGTGCAGCGCTAATTTTTTGGATATTGCCAGGCTTTTCGTTCTCAAGAGTCAAGATCACTCTTTTAGAATCAATTTCAAGTAGAGCTACGCAGTATCTAGCAGCAGCTTCATCCGGTAGTTTATGCATTTTCAACTCTTAACCCTTTATGGACGGATTACTAGCACAGTACGCACCAGAATTACAAAATGTCAGTACAATTTTCAACTTTACCATGTCAAAACTTTGGTGTCCTTCACTTGATTTTCACAATCAAGGGCTCATTGGAAAGCTCTTGACGAGAGCAACGCCAGGGTACCAATCTCCATTATCCAGCCGCCACAAATCAGGCGCGGTAACACAGCAAAGTCGTCTCCAAGCCTGATATGCAAGCAAATTCGTCCCATCAACGCCATTCCACTCTCCTTCATCGCAGAACGCTCAAATCTGTTTGAGACGATTCAAACTTCAGCCGGCTACGTCATTATCATGTGCTGAGTCGCTCAAAGAGCACACGAAAAGGGATTTCCCCCCAAAATGGCGAAATGATTGATCAAAAATTTGAATTTGCTGAGGTAAGAATACGGCGTGCGATATCTCTGGCGTCCGACATCGTAACTCTTCGGCGATTGTTGCATTGGACAGCTTGGAGTTTCCGCTACCACGTAGACCCTTCGATTGTGGAATTTGCTCAAGAAACAATGGAGTTACGAAGTTACGAAGTTTCGATCTTATTAGATCGAAACTCGTACAGTCCGTCCACAAAGGGTTAAGTTTCACGCCAAAGTCAGCTGACTGCTTGATTTTTTCCTATTCCATGATATCCTTTGATGATGTTTCTTCACAGGAATCCCATGCATCTTTTATTGCGTTCGTTAGATGTCTTGACCCAAGCAGATTTTTTTGTCATTTGAGTGCTGCTCGCAATCCGGATCACCGTAAAGGATCAGATCTGTATTATGTCCTGCTATCAAAAGTATTTCAGCAATGATATTTCAATAATTTCACATGGCAAGTCCACCTCAGACTTCAGCTGAATTGTACCGCTTGCATCCCTGAACCCAGGCTGTGGCAGTGTGTGCCAGTGATGCAGTCAGCAGCAGCAGTGCAGTACAAGGTTGCGTTGCACACTGTCATTGGTTGCCTTTGCAAGCGTGACCTGGTTTCCATGACGGTGAGCTATCATTGTTCAATGTATGACAACTGGCATCTCTTATAGAAGTGCTGTAGTGCTGGTGGTGAGAAGCAAGAAGGTGATGGTGAGCCTATCATTTAGTATCAAGTAAATCTAGTGTGTACATGATGCATGTGCATATGCAGAAAAGGTTCATGCGAAGCGCAATGAACTGTGTAAGAGAGGAACGCGAGCAGATTTGCCGAACCACACATCTGAAAGCCTACAGGCATGCAATGCTGGTCAGAGAAACACAGGCACGCCCATGAGCAAAATAATGCTGGGCACTGCACTGCCCGACCTTCATACTACAGTGTATACGGGTTAATTTTTACTAGCATACATGCGGCTAGCTGGAAATTGAAGAGGGCCTGCGGTTGGGCTAGTTATCCATTGGAAGTTGGTGGTTGTACTCTGGATCGCTCCACACATTGAGTAGAGGATCTCTACCGAACTGTTGTCTGTCCCTCCAGGAAATCGCGATTCCACGGATGCAACAAATTTCGCGATTTTGGCCCAAACCCGCGATTTCCCGCGTTTTTTGTTAATTTCTGCACTATATCTCACATTTTTCTGCACTTTTCACGCAGTTCTTTCCATGATCCTGTAGGTTATTTGCACAGTATGACTCCCGAGTAGATATACGATGCAACAAATTTCGTGATTTGGCCCAAATCCGCAATTTTCTGCAAATAATTCCGCGAATTCCTGGCAAGTTCTGCATCATTCCGCACTTTTCGTCGCATTTTTTGTTACTTTCTGCCGCAAGTTTTCAAGAGTTTTTTTCCGCAAATTCCCGCAGGGACAGGTTTGTACGATTCATTTCTGAACGAGCGTGGTGGTGTACATGTACATGTACTCTGAGTACCTGCATGCATCGGGAAAGTAGAGGTACAGACTCAGTATTGCTAACCCATGCCTATAGCTATACGTACAATACTGCATTCACGGTATTTCTGACGTCACCAACTAACTACTTGACAAATCCATGGCGCCGCCGGGCACCCTTATGACTAAGTAAAGTAAGTTACACAATCCTGAGGGTTGCCTGTGCGGACTAGTATTGGTGGTGCACATGCTAAACACACCCGTCACAAGACGTGTGCGCAAAAGCCATTCACAACGACAGTAACCACCACTGCACGATGGACAGACTTCACGCAACTCAGAAGATAGGGTTGGGAGAGAAATAGCAGGGGTCAAAATGACGCCTTGAACACAAGGCACCCCTCTCTCTCTCTATAACAATCATATAATAATAATAATAATCAACATGCCTGAAAGCTCACTACTACTCACGAGTACACAAAAAATGTACTAGAACTACAACATATCGGCAAATACACGGGAAAAGAAAGTTGCGGAAGTACACGGCGCATGTACACACTGAGGAGAAGAAAGCAGAAAGCAGAAGCTCCATTGTACGTCCGGGCATTAGCAGCCCGCAGACACATGGAGCAGCAGCAGCAACGTAGACTAAAACAGAGACAAGCCAAGTAACAGAGAATAGCATTCTACTAGGTTCGTCACCAAATAAGAAATCTGTGAAGCATGCACAAGCCAGGGCAATAAAACTCTAGACTTTCAGGATCATTAAGTTTATTTTGTATATCATTAAAAAAAACAAGCACTGCATAGTTTCATGAGGTTAGGTAGGTGTGCGGTGAATTTTGGCAAAGGTTCTGACCTTCACAGCCTCGTTTCGATAGATAAAAGAGGACAGTTTCGAGCTGGGAGCAGCAGACTGCGGAGTAATAATTGAATTGTTACACATGTGTTGTTAGTTGCTGCTATCGGTCAGCTGGAACAGGGAGACAGGTAGAGAGAGAATTTTTTTAACTCCATGTAAAATGTGTCACTGTACAACAATTCATACCTGAAACAGGTTTATCCGGATTTGAAAATGAGAATGGCAATTTGGCCCATGTAGAAGTAGATGAAATGCTTCGTTTCGTGCGTTACATAGGAGCCAAAATTTCTGCCAACAATGACGTGCCACGTTGGGTTGTACTTCTTGTCGAACTCCTTCTTGACGTAGGCGGCGATGTCCTTCTCAATGTTGAACTTTTCCATTGCTTGAGTGGCTACTTCCACAGCGTCCTGCTGCATGTCTTCCGACATGTCGGCATTCTTGATCACTGCTTTTCTGTCCGACATTGTGACCTGCACGCAGGCAAAGATAGAGACAAGGTTTAGAGACAGTGCCCATGCGCTCAACCTCCCGACATACTAACACAACTGCGTACTCAGTACTCAGCGAGTTGCCTGTCAATATAAGGACAAAAATGATTGTGAAGAAGCTGAATTTTCATCACTCTTACCAGTGGGTGTTCTTAGGCAGCCACGTATATAACGTTCAATCCTGGTCGGCTCACAGCCAGCAGTCGCGGAATGCTAATTCTTGGTCGAAATGAGCAACAGACTGAAGTACGAATAACAGCTCGTGAAGGATCAGGAGAACTAAAAATTGTTCCTCAGCCTTCCACCGTAAATTCCGTTTCCAAAATAATCGAAAATTCAACTGAATCCATGTGCATGTACAGCTTTGGCTCAACACCGCCACGGCGCTGTACAACAAAAATGACTAAGGTAAGTACGCGCTAACGCCATGTGCAGGAAGCAGTTTACGACCTTCGCCTACCGCCCGGGCCGTGCAGTCTATCGCGATATCGATGGATTTGGCGCGTGCGTTCCACGATCGCTTCCAAGGAAACACCCTCTCCCCGAAATGAACAATAACCATGACAACGTGTGGACAACCTTCACTTCGAAAATAATTCCAGACATGTCATGTCAACGGTTCAGTTCTGGGGCTTCATAATCACTGCAAGTGCAAAGCAGGGAGTAGTACAATACATGGTATCAAGAGTATCACTCTTGATGGCCCCTCTCTCTGTTTATTCTTTTTACCAGGCGTGGGCCATCCCCTGGACTATCGAAATGGGTGCCTTATTATTTTTCTGAGTGCAATAAAGAGCATACCAAGGCGCGTAGCGCCGAGACCTGCGCCCGCGGCCGTACGCACGAGGCCTTGGTGAAGGCGAAAAAGAAAAAAAATTGTACTACTCCCTGGTGCAAATTTGGCTACGAGGAGTACTTGAATAAGATGATCATGATGATAATGACCAAGAATTAGATGCAAGGCCACAAAAATGATGTGTACCTTTTGACATTGCACTTGTGACTGCCACCACACTCTACAGACTAGAGTACAGTCGGTCTACTCGATACCAAAAGACACAAGCATAGAGCAGCAACAACTAACATCACCCATAGCTATAATAAAATAATGATAACGGAGCAGATTCATACTCCACTTCGCATACTGAAACGCATCGCATGTGGCCTTACCTATCGTGACTGCGAAAGTTAAAACATTCCACGCTCTCCTACTTGTATACTGTGACGTGCAGTATAACGCCACTGGACAGCTGCCTCAACAAGAAAATTCGGACCTTACGCACTGTCGTGCTTTGCATCGGTGCAGTGCCGTGAAAAGAAGACTTTGTGTATGAACTGGCACGAGTGAAGCTGGGCCCGAATTTCTTAGGCAACAAGAGCACATATCATGAACACACCAACACCAACACAAGCACAGCTGCACGTTGGGATCAAGGAGCAAGGCAAATTCATTCAGGCCGCACACAATTTTATAGCTGGGAGCGAGCGAAAGCAAGGAGAGAGACCCCAACGGGCCAGCAGCAGCCATGACCCCGCAGAAAAACTAAGGCGGAGTGAACATATACATGTAGAGAGGTTGATAAATCGGGAGCAAGAAAAATAACGCAAATGACTTTGATAGAGGAAGTAACCGTGAAATATACTCCGCTCCATTCGAAACTTAGAAAGCACAGGGAGCAAAAGTAGAAAAGAAAAAAATAAATAATTAGATCAACGAGATCTGCCAAGCAGCAAGCGGAAAAAATAATTAATTAAAAGCAGCAGCAGCAGTAACAGCAGCACAGCGACAGCAGAACGCGCAGCGAACACAAGTAGGCCAAACAGCACAGCAATTCAAGTTAATCGTCGTCCTCATCACTGCTGTCAGAATCGGTGGACTTCTTTTCAGGCTCCGCCGGCTTCGGCGCCGGCAGGTGCAGTGTCTTCCAAGAGCCAGGCTCAGCCTTGAAAAGCTTGACTTCGACTTTCGTGCCTAGGAACGTGACCTTGCTCGAATCAGGCTTGATGACCTGCAACAAAAGACCGAACAAGAACCACTATGAAATAGAGGTTGCGACTTCGGCGATGATTTTGTTTAGGAATGGCTTTCTTGCAGGTTTGCCGAGTCGAAGGTTCGATGGACTTCTCGTGTTCTCTGGATGGCAGTCGTGAGTCAGTCAAGTGTCAAGTCGTCGGCAGAATAGCGCGAGCTCCAGTGTGGGAGCAAACCCATTCCTAAAGAACCACTATGCATCAATTAATCTGAATCACACCACATGATCAGATGTGACATCTCTGAAAATTATCCCCAACACCAAGTTCGTACACCGAAATTTCAATTGTAATCATCTTCAATTTCCAACCTTTCGCTATCTCTTGGGGAGTAACAACCTCAACAACTAGCCTGAAGTTAGAGTGACACGGCTGGAGAGCTCCTACTAAGACCCACTATTCTGTGCATGAAGAGTGGTCACTAACGTAGTTACAGGATTTCCCCGTAACTCAGAACACACGTACTTAGGGGGCGTTCGTTTTTGATCTACAGGTTTGGGAAGAAACTACTTCTTTCGGTAGAGGTGTTCGTTTTTTGAAAAAAAATTCTACTCAAAAGGGTAGATTCTACTTTCCTCTACCGGCTCTACCGGGAAAAAGTTGGTAGAATCCGGTAGAAGTTGGTAGAGCTACGGGATTTCCAGCAAGATCAAGGATTTGTACACAACTCCATAAAAAAAAGAAACATTTCACGTACACATCGTGTAAACTACTAGATCTGGTAGAACAGCGTTCGTACACTTGCCTCTACCATCTACCTCTATCGGTAGAGTGACTCTACTCTACTCTACCAGGTAGCTAAAAACGAACGCAGCCTTACTGAAGGCAAGTGAACATATTTTATGCCAATCAATTTTTGGGGCCTTTTTCGTTGACATGCCAGTTTTTGTGACTGTAGACGGGCCAGAAAGGTACCCGGTAGATGGACCGACGTGCTCGGATTAAGGATGTCCGGATCTGGGCAGTTTTACTGTACACCTATCTGTACTGTGTACATCACTACATGTGCTTGAGAAACATAACAGCTCAGGAGTAGGCCCTTCCACCTTATGTTTTGCATTTTTTTTGCATTTTTGGGGAAAAAAGCATTCTCGTTCGACGTCGAGCATTTTCTTGAATTTTAGGCCTAAAAAACGCATTTACAGTCTGCATCGGCTATAGCGTACCCTTTTGATTTCTGTGATTTTATCACTATAACCGATGCATCACTATATGCGATACGATCGATTTTTTCTCTTTTTTTTCTTTTTTCGATCGACACATGAAAGGCAAGGAAATACTTCCAGCATGGCGTTTTGACAAATGAGCATCATGCATAGTTGACAGTGCCTGCATTTCCATAAAAAAATTCTGTTATGTACATGTACATGTATCACTATAAAAATAAGCAACGTGAAGAAAGTAAAAAAATAGGGCCTTTGATATTATTGCTACATGTATATTGCTACATGTATTGTATAGTTATCACTATAGCCGATAATAATAATTATAGTGTGTTATGCATGTTTTGATTCTTTGTTGCCATCATGATATCCGATATATCATTACATCCGATAATATTGGTTATGGTGATATTTTTACTGGATAAAATACGTTTTGCTTTTGATATTTCGTACCAATATCACTGCAGCCGATATATTCTTATATCCGGTCACTCTATAGCCGATACAGACTGTACTCAGGAGCACTTACATCAAAGAGGGGCACAGTCAGGCTGAATTGGCTTTTGCCGCCGCCGAAAAGAATGTCGGCGAAAAGCTGCAAAGCACACGCATGTAAGCACAAGCAGAGACACCAACAGCATTGGCATACTGAAGAAGTATGGGAGCAAATTCGCCATGGCTACCCCTACAAAGCCTTACATGAAGAGGATAGACTGAGATAGATAGATACTTCGAAGTAGATGGATAGATGGATAGAAGGTGCTGACAAAGGGACAGAAAGCACCGACAGAGGCCAGCAATGGGACGTACGATGCGCATTGTGCAGTAATACAAAGATGATACTGTCTACAGGAACGAACACTAGCAATTTCATGACGAAAACATATGTTAGCCGCTAATACTACAAATCGGAATGCATCTGTCACAACTCGCAAGTATGGGCTTCAGAAGCAAGAAACGACTAACTAGCGGCAAACATATCGCAGGTGGTAATGCCATCGGTGTGTGTACCAGTGCCCCACACCTGCTCAGTTGTATATCCACAGGTCACAGTTCGCAGTGGATGACTACAACCGACAACTAACCACTCACTTCATCGGACATGTACACAGTATGCAGTGGCATTTAGTCCCATTTACACGATGACATCACGGGGCTCACCCTCGCGAGCACATGATTCTGATACGCTAAATGCCAACATCGCGTATAAGAGATGTCGGCAGTAACAGAAAGTTCATAAACACCTAGTTTATAACAGATACCAGGGGCACAAGCAAGTGTAAGACAAAGCTAGAGTGGCTGAGTGAGGGCAGAACTGCATACCGTACTAGCACTTGGCAGTACTTACAACAGTTTCATTGGCCTCCACGGTGCAGTGATCGGGTACTGGTAACTTAGAGTAGATACTGATCACCACCGTATTGCCCACCTGATGCCAGTCATACCTACAAACACACACACACACACACACACACACACACACACACACACACACACACACACACACACACACACACACACACACACACACACACACACACACACACACACACACACACAAACACACAGACACACACACACACACACACACATGAGGTAGACGATCAGAGCTGCTACCATCCTGACTTCTATGCAAACATGACTGGTGCTACCGATATAGCCAGGGAGTAGTACAACACCATAACATGGCCATAACCATAACATGATATTATACTACCACCCGGCTGTAGCCATACGGGGGAGGGGAGCAGCAAGTGCAAAAGATTCCGAGAACGAAGAGCACACAAACCAGTATGTGTACCTGTGCATAGGGGAGATACTGCTGTCACAGGTTGTGCTAATGTAGTGCTACTGTGCATTTGCAGATCTTCGTTTACATGACTTAGACACGATGTGCATTCTGCTTTCCCGTTGCACACTCTGCTTTTACACACTGCACTTGCTGGAAGAAAGAGTGAAGCCTGATGGCAATAACAGCCATACTGCTCACTTCAAAGTTTAGAATGATCCGCACACAAAGCATAGCTTCACATGCCCATTCAACCAGCACCGATGTGTGCAACTTGGATCAGTGCTTCATAAGATCAGGAATGACACTACCACACCAGAAAAGAGAGAACATGATCGGCACCATGGTAAAGCAGCTCCAACTTACCGACATTTGACCTCCTCCACACAGTTCTCATCCTATAACAAGACACACAAGCACGCAACAGTAGAACCATAACCTGTCACAGTCACTGACCACACCAATGAACAATACAAGCAAAGCCCGGGCTTTCTCAGCGTTGTGCGAGTACCATATGCCATTAATCTCACTAGCACGTGCACTGGTATACTGGCCAGTGCGAGCCAGCAGTAACGATGCAAGCAACAAAATAATACCCAGTACAGAGAGAAAAACTGAGAGAAAGACAGAGAGAAAGAGAGAGAGAAAGAGAGAGAGAGAGAGAGAGAGAGAGAGAGAGAGAGAGAGAGAGAGAGAGAAGAGAAAAGAGAGAGAGGAACTGTAGCATGAAATTGAATACTCACCCGTGGACGAGGCCAGTCATGGTCACCTGTCTTGCAGCCTTCTTGTTTCATGAACTGCTCAAAGTCGCTAGTTCTTCTTGTACAGCATGTCCAGAACTTGAGCCTACAAGATGACAATGAAAGGATTAACACAGATGACATGACACCATCACACACAGTTGGAAGGCTACGAAACAGTCATTCATTGGGAGCTTGCGCAATAGTACCACAGTGGGAACTTCAAGTTTTTTCCGAGTACGACAAAATGGGATTCGGCAGTTAGGCATGCACGCGGCCGGCCAGCGTAGAACATGTTGAAACAATTTTGAGGTGGATGCTTGAGCAACCAAAGCACCCCCCCCCCCCCCTCCCGGCCTCTTGGGGGGGGGGGGGGGGTCTCCTGGCCCTTTGCGGCCCATAGTAGGGATATCAGCGAACGCACTGCGCAGCCCATCTGCGCAGGTCAGCCTGGCCCATCGATGCATCTACGCGCGGCCGGCAAGAAAACTCATGAACACTTTCATTTTTTTGCAAAATAAATCGTGCGAAGAAGATGCACGGAATGGCTGAAAACTAGGCTGAGGAATAGTAGCATCCAGAGACTCTCAAACAAATTCATGGTCCATCGCTTCTGGCAATGGCAGCGAAGATATCAGGGAGCTGATTGCAGCAACTCTCTACCAAGCGCGATGCTGGTTACTCACCAGGGCAGGGCGCTTCCATCGCGCAAGAAATGGCCGCGAGCGAGAAATGGAAGTCCGATTTTGGAACGATCCAACCAGGGAAATTCCTTGAAAATTGGCCTGAACACCTCTCATACTGGTGTTTCACGATGTGCAAACTTTCAGAGAAATCGACCGGGGAGAACGTGGTGAGTTCGTGGGTCCTCGAGTATCGCGTATGATTTGAATGGTCGCGGGGGCAGAAGAACAGTGATTTTACGACTCTCAGCGGTGCAAACAGACCGCGGCCATGTTTTCTCTGTCGGCCGCGATCACGTTCAAAAAATCGATGACGCAATGCATGCGCAGAGGCCTGCGCAGTGCGTTCGCTGACATCGCTACCCATAGTACAGATATATCCGTACCAGTGTACAGTGCATACTTTTTCAAAGCGCAACCTGGCGTAACTCGGCCGTCCCTTGACTAAATTGGACAATCGAAAAGTCTATCGGCATTAGAATTGTCTCAGCTATTGGCTCGAAAAACCCCGAAGGCGATTCGAGGTCGGAGAGCGGAGTTATGAGACTTGAAATAAATTCACTCAGCAGAGTCAACTCGGGCGCATGCATTTTGAACTCGTTTTGGAGGTTTCCCCTGACTCGCGGCCCACAGAGCCACAGATAGTTCACGTCATCGCAAAGGCAAGTTTCTCAGCTCTCATGTAAAAAAATCTGAGCGATCTGCGATACATTTTGTTGAAATGGCAGAGAATTCGAGTTGTGCGCTCGCAATGCTGGCTTTGGAGTGCCGAATCGCGCTGCGGCACTGGTTCTGTGGATTCAATGATGGCTTGCTGGCTATCGCTGTGTTCCTCTGGCCAAGAGCTTTTCAGAAAGCCCAAGATCACCAAAATCGGCCAAAGGACACCAAAGTCACGATCAGATAAGTAACTGGGCTCGCGTATGCAGTGCATTCCTTGAAATAATTGTGGGCCCTAAGGGGTTAAAGCACTCCTGCTAATACTGTAAAGTACCGCCAGAGGGCCCCACCATCTTGTCCTTTCGTGGTTGTATTGCGGAGGTGGTCTCCTGTCTGTAGGTCATACAACACGAACTTTGTACACATATCGCACGTTCTGCAGACAATCCGCACCTCCGAGCGGACACTAGCTCCACACAAATATCTGCCGTGAACTGTAGTACACTAAGGTTCTCACACCGTGCAAACTTCACTGCACCCTGCCATACGATTCTCCTTTCCCTGGCTGTAAAATCAAGGTGGGGTGATCTTGCGAGACGGGGCGCTCTCGTGGTACTTTACGGTACATGTATTGACGGTGCATGTATTGACGGTACATGTATTGACGGTACATGTATTGACGGTACATGTATTGACGGTGCAATTCACTTGTAGTTCTAGTCTAGATTAAAAATATTGTAATGCTCAGCCAGAAACATTGCAGACACAATCCTGATCAACCATGCATTACACTCGGATCGTGAACCATGAACAAGGTACATACATTATACAACAGTGCAAGCACCTACCCCTCATGAAATATGGCCTCTCCTGGGTGATAGCGACAGAGCTCTGACAAGGATTCAATGCCTTGGTAGGTCTGCACATCACAAGAAACCAGGAAAGGAAGTGAATGGCTTTAGAGGCA